AGATGGGATGAAACATTGGTGGCCATGTGTGAAATCTTTTCATCCTATTTTTCTACATCACTAGTACTCTCTTAAATTGGTGTCAGTTTTGCTGCTAAAAGAAAAGGAATAAGTGCATCACTGCATCTAGTGACAAAGGAATAAGTTGAGGCCTTTAGAACTCTTACCAAATGTTTAGGCCGAGGGAATGAAAAAATTTTTTAATTTGATTATTAAAAAAATTAAAGGGAAATAATTTTTTTATTTTATTATTTCTTTTAATTTATTTATTATTTATCCAAATGAAAAAAATGGAGAATAAGAAAATGAAAAGATAAAATTTTTTGAGAAATAATTGATATACACTCGATTCAATATATTTTTTGACATATTTTCAGTTCAATCATTAAATTATAATATAAATACAGTTAATTTAGTCGGTTCCTACATCTTATATGTATGATTGTATGTTTAAACTTGTCTCTTTTCAATTTTAGATTAAAAAATAGTGATTTTTTAATGAGTATATTGTGTAATGTATTGAACTAAATGCGTATTAATCACTCTCCAAATTTCCTTCCTCTCGATTCCTCTCAACTCAAATGTATAGTTAGATTCAAATCCCTCCATTATCACACTTATTTAGGTTGCATTTGGGTTATTTTCTCATACCACTTTTTCTCCAAGTATCTCAAAAAAGTGTTAATTTGTTATAATTAAATTAATTTTAATTAATATTTTGTATAATTTAGTAGTCATATTAATATATAAAACTCTTTTAAATACAATTATTAAGCAATAACAATTTTTTTCACGGTAAAATACTAAAAAAAATCACAATCACAACAATTCAAAATAATCTCAAACACAAGCTTTATATCCTTCTTCCATATCTTTCATATTTTCATAAAAAAAATTACTCCATTTCCCCTTTTTTTAACTTTAACTGACTTAATTTTTTCCAATAAGACAAAAAGGTAATAATTAAATGATAAAATTTTGATTATTTAGGAAATTGTCAACGTGTAACAGAATGTGTAACTTTACAATGTGTATACATTATTTCCCTAAAATTTTATATTGATGATTAATTGATCACTATTTATATAAGGATTTTTATTGTAATATGTTGCAATAATTATCTTCTTAAAATAAGTATAAAATAAAAACAAACATATTAAATAATATCTAAAAAAATTAATTTTAAACACACTAAATTAAAAAATAATTTAACTAAAATTAAAACGAAAGAGTACATGTATTTTTTTAAATCATGATACAGTTATTATTAAATGAATTTTATTTTATTTTTTCAGCATTAGTTTACAATTTGTCATCTGCCCTATTTTAGCAATACCTGATTAAACTGTCTATTCTCTATGGATAAATAATCAACCAAAAATTACCTTACAATTAACTATCTCATTCAAATGATCACCTCTTATAATGTTTTTTTTTTTTACAATTACCTCTCATGATGTACTAAAAAAGAAAATCACCTCTTATGATCAAGAAATTACATTCCGGATACTTCGAGATAGCAAATGGCAAACAGCAAACTGAAATCATGGCATGGCATTTCATAATTTCTTTATGTTTGTTACCGAAAAAAAAAAGGAGGAAGAAAGAAAAAGAAAGAAGACACAATTTTAATGCGCCAAATCAGTACCCTTCGATATTCTAAACCTAAGAAAAATAAGCATTAAGAATACAAAAGAGAAATTAACGTAGGAGAACTGAATGTTTTTATTTAGTTATTTAGTTCAGCAATTATATGTGTTGTCACACACACGTATATCAAACAGAAAAGCTAAACAACTGAAGTCTTCGATCCAGCAGAGGAATAGATGGTAAGGCATAAATCTCTCTCCTCCTTATTCATATGTTCAAGAGAGGATGGTTCAGGTATTAGCAGTTCAAACTGATTCTCACAACTGCTCTGAACCATTAGCAGGGAACTTAAAGCTACACTGGCAACGTCTCTATAGAAGCCGGCCTTTTGACTTTGTTCAGCTCGGAGAAGCAAATTAAAAAGATTTTTATAGTTATTGGTACATGCTGTAAATTTAGGCGTGAATGGAGCGTCCCTTACTTTTTACATTAAGGTGTTGAGTTCGTTAAAGGTGTTTAAGGCATTGCTCTGTGCTTCGAGTATTAGTAAGCCTATGTCTTGACCATCTGCAGACGCTGTGGCCAGAAAAAATCCTATAACATGGAAGAAAAGCATAAGAGAAATCAAAGAGGAAGTTTTGCCTGTAAAATACACAAATTTTTTTTTTTTTTTGGGCTGTGCGTTAGAATGGCGATGTTATGTCCTTATATGGGGAAAGATTATAAGGATTTATTTTAAGAAAAAAAATCTATCGAGGAGTTTAAATGGAACCAAATCAGATTGATTTTACAGAATTTCTAAGGGAATATGAATCAAGATATATAATGGTGCATTTATTGAAAATTTTAATTAATTTTTATTAAATAATTAAAAATAGCTTTAATTTTATTAGTTATTTAATTAAAATTATACATGTGACATTAATAACAAAAATAAAATCAATTATAATGCCTTTAATTAATTAAAATGATCCCTAATGAGCTTGGGATAAAATGGGAAGAATGGGTCAAAGAATGACACGGGCGGATTATCTTCAATAAGTAATCTTGGAATACACAAATGCTAGATTTAATTGTAGTGATATATACATAAGATGAAAATTTTTAGGATGAAAATTT